CTCACTAAAGTTGATGGCAGTTTTTCAGTTGACTGCTTTGATAGCTGGAGCTGATGCTTAATTAATAAATGAGGAAGGTGAAACTGCTCATACCCAGATATATAGAAGCAGCCACTGTCTGTACGTCTCACTTGCACTTGAGACTTAGAATTAAAAAGCCACTTATGAAAAGTGTTACCCTCTGACTTTAAAATAAAAAATCTAAATCAAAATAAAATATTTTGTTTGACTTAGAAATCTTTATTTTTTAATTGTCATTTGTACAAAACCTTTTCCTTAAACAACAGTTACACCTTTCAGCGTTTCTATAGAGCAGAAAACAGTGTCATGAAATTTCTGAGGCTCAAGTTAAGCATCTCTCAATACAAGTTGCAACACGATTTGTGATCCTGGGTAGAGTGACAATGGAAAAAACTTATAACAAGAAATAATTTTTATACGTATGTGCATCTGAAAAGTAGCCTTTATAAAGTGCTACCTAAACTTGTACTGTTGCATAGATAGCTATGCATCTGTCTTCAAATCTGAATCTCTGAATACAATGGCAGTACTTAAACTTTTAAAAGGGGTCCTCTTTAGCTAGATCAGCTGCTGGCTAGAAAATCATTGTACTGACAATATTTATGAAAGCTCATATGCAATCTAAATAAAAACTCCTTAGCCATATTTTGATCTTGCCAACTAGAAATTAAAATATTTGCACCAATTGGAATTAGATTGTGGAAGGACCCAGACCTAGCAATGTAAGTTGCTGTTCAGCTTTTTTCCGGGTGTTTGCAAAACAGTACATTTGAAGAGAGGAAAAACTGATATAAAGCATATTTTAGAAATATTTAAAGCCTATAAGTGTGGGAGAAAAACCATGGAAATCAATTGAATTTGGGGAGACTCTAATGGAAATGGTATAGTATACATTTCCACTTTTGTGGCAGCGCTGCTACTGATCTGCTGCTGAGAGCCACAAACAAAGAGCTGGTGGCAAGGAGGAACACGAGATTCCTTGCATGATGTAATAGCAGCCAGGCAGCAGTTTTGGAGGGCGTCCCTTTCATCTAACTTTGCGTGACACTGTGTACCTGAGGTAGCTGAGGAAATCAGTAGCCTTTACCTTCCACAGAGCTGCCAATGGCAATGTGGAATGTCTAGTTCTAATAAGCTATTAATGCAGGCAGTTGGATTAGATAAGTTAGATAATACGACTACTCCTTCAAAATATATGATTTGATTATAGATATCTGTAAATATAAACCCCATTATTAATTATGTGTGTATTAAATATACAAAATGAGACAGCAAACTTCATTGAAAATTAATTGACTTCCCCTACTAGTGTTTACTTTAGAATAGTAAGATGTTTTGGCTCAACTGCAGTCATGAAGATACAAAACTCTCATGGCAACTTTTTAGAAGGATTAAACACCAGCTAACAGAAAGGTGTCTGAATACAAGTGTGCACAGGGAAGCATTTTCAGTGGCTTCTCCCTGGACAGGCTTCTTGGCCATGCGTTACTGACCTCCTTGTGTTGTGATCTGTGTGGGATCTGTGTTGTGATCTGTGGGGAGGTGAGAGGAGGGGGAGAAGAGGTGGCTGGTCATGGTGGGTCTTCAGGGTACTGCAAAGATGGAGCGTGCAGCTTCCTTCCCCACCTTGCCAGGCTGAAAGCAAGGTACTGGGTCAAGTTTCTCAGCCTTTCTGCCATCTTCCCCGTGATGGCATGGCTGTGTCAGTATGTTTAATGAAACAATTACCCTCTTACTCGTTTCTTCCAAAGAGTCCTTTGAAAAGTAGAAATTTGTAATACTATGAAATACCACTGCTGTTTGCAGTAGATCAAGCCATCCGTTTTCTACCACAGGTCTTTAGTCCTACTGCCAACAACGACCTTATATATGGCTATAAATCTTCCAGGAGTGTAATAAAGGTGAACTGCATTTCACCATAATGGGGTATGTCTTATATGAAGACAGAGAGCATTAGGAAATCTGTGTGTAATAGCCAGTGCTTCCCAATATTCATGTCAAAGCAGGGGATGTAGCACTGTGGGCTGCAGAAGTCATTCAGACGTATTGCAGTCTTCTGTCCCTAAGTACTTTGGTTTTATCACAGCAGTGCTGCTGTACTTCAGGAGTTTGTGGTATTCATTTTATAAACCTTATTCTGAGGTGCTCACAGCTTTTCTGCTCTGCACATCAGAAGTCATTCTGGAGAAGGAAAATTCCCTTAAATCAGTTGCTATTTATTTATTTCCCTTCTTTAACGTTAGAAATACTTCAGTCTAATCTAAGTCTGACTTTGAAAATTCTACCTCTTTTGCAAGTACGGGAGTCATAGCAGTTTTGTGAGGCATTTAAAGACCCAAAATGCAAATAGGTACCTAATGAGATTCACAAAAGAACCTATTTCCTATTGAAGTCAATTAGAAATGTAACTTGGTTGTTTCTGTAGCTTTAGGAACTTAAATGCCTTTTAAAATTGGCTCTAATTCATCTGGGCACTTTTGAAAATTTTACCCTAAAGCTTGATTTTTTTCATGTGAAAGTCAATTTCTGGTACTGAACTGAATAGATAAATGCATCCGTGTTATGTCATGGATTTTATTTCAGAACTGCCCAGCTGTTTCTGAATGTGCATGATTTAAAACTAAATATAGTTAAAATACTACCAAAGTGCATGAGGTTTGTCTCTCTCATTTAGGAATTAAATGTAGAGCTGTCACTATTTGTGAGCATAAACAACCCAAAATAGTATTTGTTGTTGTATAAAGTTGTGAAAATGTTTAATAAAAGTACTCACTGTCTCTGATACTCATGGTTAGGCAACAGCATCCCATTATTAAATCCTGATCCACCATTCCTGCATCCCAGCTATTATCATTTTACAGTGTCTTTTGGTCAAATTAAGTGCTGCAGTAATTACGTGAGTACAATTCCTATGGAGAACTGCAGATTGTTATTCCTGAGCAAAATTTGGCATTTTTCCTAGCTGTGTCTCACCTCCCACTCAGCCTATGTGGCACAAAGAGGCTGACTGGGGAGGAGAGCAGAGAAAGCGTAGACAGTGGAAGAGGAGCAGGCTTGATAAGAGTCCTCAGCACACTTTTTGTTACTGCTCTTGTCAGCTTGCTCTTCTGAAAAGACATTCTGTATTAAGAATTTGCTCTTGTCATGTAGCTTTTTAACTCAAAAGGTTTTCTGTGTGTGCACATACGTGTGAATACATAACTTGTCCTAGTGCTCACAGAGGCAAAAGCATAGAAGGCTGGATACTTAATTGTTGTTGATTTTTGTTAGAATTGTACAACCTTTTTGTAATTTGTCTTTATATCAATGTAATGATTCCAAGACCTATCCAATATGACTGTAATGCATACAAAAATAAGCCACTTCAGATAATACATACAAAATCATGTCCATAACCACAAAGTCCCAGCCTCTTTACTAATCCACTTTCTGCAGTTCCTTTCCTGTAGAAACAAGAGTCTAATGCTCTCCCACTTTCTCCCTGAAGAAGAAGTTAGGACTCATGCTTGCCTTGCTTTCCACCTTTACTATATCTAGGTGAATGCAAGGAAAGGCAGAATGGTATCAGGACTGAAATTCAGGGCACTGCTCTGAGTAGTAACCCTCCAGCTAGAGGGTTCAACAGAGGCTGCTGTCTGGGTTGAGGGTTTCAGATTTCTTCTGTCAGGTGTCCTTACAACACCCACATGTGCTTCTAGCCGTAATGGAGGTGGTGGTGGTGGGAACGGCTGTACCGCTCACTGCAGGGGAAGGGGGAGTGATGTGATTCAGTGACCAGAGAGAGCAGGACACAGTGATGAAAGAGGCAGGCTGTCGGTTCAATACCTGGTACAAAAACTTCTGTGATTGTCTTCATCTCTAACATGGTTCCTAAAGTCTAATGGACAAGTTTTATTTCTCTGATTGTGGTCTTTAAAAATGATATTCAGAGCCATGAATGCTTGCAGCAACTATCCCCTGGCAGGTCTATTTCAGAACGATCCTTATGAATTCTTTCAAACAGTTTCTCAGGACATTTAAAGCTTAAATCCATGACCTGCTGATGTCATTCATAAAAGTTGAAATTCTTTCATTTCCAGGAGACATAAAATACCTATCAATTGCATAAGATTTCAAAAGTTTAAGTTCTTAAGAAGCTCATTTGGGCCTATGAATCCATCTGTTGCACCCTGTACTTGCTGGTACAAGAAGACTTCCCTTCAACCGAGAAAAGTATTAATAGTATCATTTCAGTGGGCCTTTGCAGGGTATTTTTTAGTCCTAATGGTCAAAGTCATTGCAATTGTTTCTTTTCCAATGTTTAACCTTTGACTGCTGCGCCCCACACCCCCAGCTCTGCCACACTTTGCCTGTAGCATGTGTGTTTCAGGTTGAACATATAAAACTTCAAGGTATTTCTCTCTGGTGTTCTGTGGTTCAGGAAATTTTGGCTTAAATTTGTCACCTAACCTTTTGTACGACTTACATTTAAATGCGACTGTATCTTCAGTTTCTGCCTGTTCTAGTAAGGGAATCTCCTGTAACATGAAACAAGAAAACTTTTCCCAATACACATTAGGAATGACAGTTCATAGGCTCTCCAAATGCTAGTCTCTACCTTGGAACTACACAAATCAGAATGTCAGCTGCTTGGAGAGCACTGTTACATTATGTTGCTCACAGAAATGCTCTGCAGCAGGAGAGATGCCCTGAGAAACCCTGTTACATCTTACCTACCTTGAAAACCAGACAGCATTGCTGAGCACCAACAGTTATGCTCTGGTTCAATTTTGTTTGCTTTGCTCCATGCGCTGAAGGTGGTGTCTCTTAGATGGATGTTATATTTCTTATTAATGTTAGTGGGAGTTTTATAAAAGTTCATACAGGGAAAGTTTGCCAGGTGAAAAAGGTAAGAAAGGTGACTGAATTGAAGCTGTTCCTCGGTCTCTGAAAAGACCCATCTTGCACGCTGCAAAACTGTAATAGGTGCACAAGCTAGCATGGGTACCAAAAGGTACGTTAGATGCTATTCACAAAAGGTGGTTGAGAGCCAACAAGGTGCTGTCCAGGCACCAACGAGGGTATAGTGTAGATGTGTCTCAGGAGACCACCTTGCTTAGGTTTTCATAGTCTGGCTCGTTGTAAGGCATTAGGTTGCTCTCTTTGCGGACTACAGCGATTACAGCCTTAGGTGCATAAGGCACATGCAAAGCTTATGTTGCTTCTTGCTGTCTTCCGTTTCTGCTGTTAATACTATACACAAGGAGCAAACCTGTGTGCTAAGGTTTCCCTGTTGAATCCTGTGACCCTTAATTGGGGTGTGTGGGATTTAAGTAGATTTTTTTTTTTTCAACTGAAAGATATTGTTATTGCTCCAAATACTTTGTGAACTAAACACCCTAATAGTTTGCGAATAAAACCAGGATCTCTCAAGGACAGCGCAGTTTTAATCGTATGCAGGCTTCATTCTGATCCTACTAAGGTACCAGACTGGCTAGTCTATTCAGAGCCAGGCAGAATTGGCTTCTATCCTTAAAAACCCAGCCACATTCACTGCAGCATTGGAAAGTCTCTTGTGGGCAAAATGATTCAAGTTACACCTGTTGAAGTTTATTGGGCTATTTGGAAAAACCTGTCTACTTACATCAGGTGCCAGAATACACGAATTTATGCTGAGGAAAAAACCAAAATATATCACACAGCAATAAAATAGAAAAATCAGAAAATAACTGGGTCCTTTTTTTCCTCATTTTTCAGAATATTGCAACACTTTCACACTACTGCTGAAGATTACACCATCATTTTCACATCTGGATGCACAGCTGCACTTAAACTGGTGGCAGAAGCATTCCCTTGGATACCTGAAGGCACAAAGCAACCCAGCAGTCGGTTTTGTTACCTAACTGACAGCCACACATCTGTGGTGGGTATGAGGGGGATAACTGCCTCAATGAATGTCCTGTCTGTTCCAATAAAACCAAAGGAAATATTTTTATCAGAAAAAAACGTGTTACCAGCTGAAGAACAGAACTGCATGACACCTCATCTTTTCTCTTATCCAGCTCAGAGCAATTTTTCTGGTACCAGATATCCCCTTTCATGGATACAGGACATAAAATCTGGAAAACTCTGCCCCATCAAAATACCAGGGAAGTGGTTTGTTCTACTAGATGCAGCTTCCTATGTGAGCAGTTCTCCATTAGACTTGGGAGTTCACCAAGCTGACTTTATCCCCATTTCATTCTATAAAATCTTTGGATTCCCAACTGGTTTAGGAGCATTACTGGTAAACAACCGGATTGCCCCCCTCTTGAGGAAAACCTATTTCGGAGGTGGAACTGCAGCTGCCTACCTCACAGGAGAGGACTTTTATTTCCCAAGGAAATCTATAGCAGAAAGGTAAGGCTTTGTTTAACAAAACAGGGGGGGTTGCTGATACTATTTGCATCAGACAAATGACTTAAGGTTGGTGCGTGCACTGGGCTGTGACACCTGTGCTGCTTTATGCGGTTGGATAGGTGTTTCACACCTAACTCTGTTTTCTTCTTGGTAGTCTTTTTTTCCTATCTAAAGAACATCATCGAAATATCTGCCTTCCTTCCCCGATCTAGTTTGCCACAACTGATAAAAATATAAGGCTTCATTCAGTGACATAAAAGTCAGTCCATGCATTTTTCAATTTATATTTAAGGTACCTCAGTGGAACCCTGATTTGTTTTTGGAGCTCTGCACCTGGAGCAGCCGGGCCAAGGTTGATCACACAGTATAATAACCCTGAGTGGAATTGGAAAGTAAGGTCTATGTATTTCACTGGAAAGGTGGCATGCTTTACTCTCAAGAGAAGCTTTGTCAGAATCTCATGTGCAGTAAGATAAATTACCTCAGACAAATATTTGTAGTGCTATTATTCCCTGACTAAGGTTCTGGAGAAGCTTTCCTGTAGAAAACAGATGACACCTAAAGGAGGTCAAATATACACACACAAGGAAATGCAGGGCAATGGATAAGCTTCCCCAGTCCCTTAACACATTGAAACACCACTCTTAGTGATGCTTGGTCTCTCTGCCTCTCTCCCTCATGCTAGCAACAGCTTACATAAATGAAGTAAAGGGTCTTCCTTCCTGTCTCACATCCAATATATCTGCACAAACAAAATGCTTGAGATCAGCATTTAATAATAAATTATAGTCCTTGGGAGAGGCTAGATGTGAAAAGGGGAAACGATAAAAAAAGCCATTCGTGCCTTGCATTTGTTATGGATGTGTGTTCAGCGGCACAACGTCCTGCATCTCCCATGATGTAGATGCCTGACCTTTCACTGTACATGTAGTAATGCATAATGATGCTTCGTGTGTGTGCACCTCTTCTAGATGTGTGCTCTGAGTGCTGATGGGGGGTTTCGGTTCTGGACTAGTAAATTCAGAGGCTGGCTACATTAGCCTGGCCCTTCCCATATGAGGCCATGCATTATTTCTGAAATGGAAGTTGATAAGGTGGAAGTCCAGTTAATCTTTTAATTTAGAAATAAAAACAACAGGGAAACATTGGCTTTCTGACCTCTGTTTCTGGTTTTTCAAACCAAAAAAAGGCTTTGAAGTGCAGCACTCACTGAAAGTCAGGATGAAAGGGCATAAAAATCATGGGATCCTAGGGTGCTCCTGGGTCACCTGCCAGCCAAGGAGAAAACCTGCTTTAATTTGACCTGGGTAGGCTCTAATTTCTGAGTGGTTTTCTAGAAGTAACTGACACATGACTCCTGAGATTGTATAGCGGATAAAAATATCTGAAATGCATTTTAAATCTCGGTTCTGCTTTTATACTTTTAAGAGGGGAAAGGTATATGGGAAACCTTGAGAGGAGCTCTGTCTCTGGTATCTTTTTCAGGAGTTTTCAGAGGTTGACTAATTACAAGCCTTTCAGGTATTTGAGGCTCCCACTGCTTTCAAGGGCTTTTCCTACTGGATCAGAAGGGCCTGCTTTAACCTTTTTCTACTACAGAGTTATAAACAAAGGAATTGGTCCAATTTGATTTCTCAGTCAGGCTGGATACAGAGTGTCTAATCTGGTATGAGGGAGCCTAACTAAAATAATCAAATCCGACAGCTAGATGCTAAGACATGTGATAGTAGCTCCCGTTAGACACCAAAGTGTCATACAGGCAGTCTGAGTCATTGTACATAGGTAAATATTCACATTTGTCCTCATGTAATCCTTTGGTTAATATTTGAAAACCTAATATTTAAAAGTACATATTTAGAGTGCTATTGATGCTGTCTGTATTCACTAGTGAACAGTGGAGACTTAAAGTCCTACCTGGAGAGGCTTGACGTTTTCAAAGATGGGTCAGGAGTGAGGATAACCACTTCATTGAAAACATAAACCAAATAGCATTTAAATGCTCAATTGATGTCCTCCAATCCTCCAAGCTATATTTTTTTTTTCCAGATGTTAGGGATTTTTGCACTGTTATGTTTTTAAAATGTTTTCCTGATAATAAAATACAGAGATAGGGCAGTTAGGAACAGAACTTCTCCACTTCAAATGAAATGCCAGGACACTGTGGCCAAAGCTGATGTGATTACCTTATCTGTGGGCCACACTTCCATTTCTGTGTTAGTGACTGAGACACCTGGGTCATTATTTCTCATATAAGCAGCAACTCTAGACAGGTTTTATCCCTGCCAAATTGCAGTAAGGAGCCTCCATCCTTGGAGGTATCTGCACCCAACTGGAGAAGCCCCTGGGCAACCTGCTTCAGGTGGCTATGATTTGGGCGGGAGGTTGGACTTGAGATCCCGAGAGGTCTTTTCTATCCTCTATGCTTCTGTGGTTGATTCTGCGCACCTCTGCTGAGCTCCATCTGCGTTCTCTCTTTAGGCATGTCTTTGAGATTTCAAAAGTTTGGTTTCTTCACATTGTTTTTTATAAAAAGCTTCCTTACAGTGCTGGATTAGCATTGGGGTTGAATACACCAAAACATGTCATTTCATGTGGTGATTCATAAGAAGACTTGAATTCTAACAGATACCATTGGAAAAGGGGATTAGAATATGTGTATCTGAATACCGTTAGCAGAAGGTATTCCCCATTCACACGTAATCAAAGTGCAGTGTACTATGGAAATAACTTTTTTTAAGTCAAGGTGAAACTTGAGTGGAGATGTGTGACGAGAGGGTGTTTATTCATCTTTCCTTCACAGGACTGTCAAAATGGTTACCTTTTATCTAATGGATACAGCTTTTGCTAGTGTTTCTTGTACTTTATTTTGTGGTTCTTGCTATATAGATTATTCTATCACGGTCTCTTTTACATTCCTTTAATACCTTTAAATCACCTCCACGTTCTCCAATTTCATGGCAGTAGCCAGTCTTCCTATCTCAACTTTTAAAATCATGTTTATTGTATTTTCATCCTTGTATCAAACACCTTGACAAATTATTATTATCATTCACAAATCTAGCCTCATTTCCCATGTTTTTTTTCTGCACAGCATGAGATAATAAAATAATATGATTATGTATAGCAAGAATTCAGCAATAAAATATTCATCATCTGCCCTATTTTTCTTTTGTATCTGGGAGTGCTATTCAGAATCTGATCCTCCTGGAATTTATGACTAAGGGAAAAGAAGCTGTTGTGTTATCTGTAAATTGGATATCTGCATCTTAGTCTACCAATGTGAAATATCTAGTGCATTAGCTGTTGTCTGTTTTTCATTTCCAAATGCATTTTCAAAAGCTTTGGAAATCCAAATGGCATGACTTTGTCCCTGACGAGTTTTAGTGGCTCTTGCCTCTGCTGCTTGAATGACTTGACAGCCCCAAAGCAGCACACACACTTTGGTAGCCTGTGATGCGTTGTACTTAATCAAAGCATGTTTATTCTTGATGCGGTAGCTTTTTATTTTTGAGGTGATTCAGTGGCTCATATCTATATGACCTGCAGATAAAAGGTTAGATCCCTTAAGTTCTGCAGGAAATGTCCTTAATTAGGGCCCACCCATGTACCATGGTGGAGAACTATGCTGGAGATCACTGGGGCAACTCTGCGCATGCCTGTGCAGGTCTGTGTATAGTAACATGGTTTGGATCCTCCATTGCATGCTGTTTGTGCATGCTGAGGGAAAGGAAAGGAAGGAGTGGAAAACAGAGGCAGAAAGGTAGGGGTGGGAGCTGTTGCTAGGATGCCAGGACCTGGAGACAAAATCCTGAGGCTGGGTGCTGGATATGGAGCAGCTCGAGAATCCCTTGGTAAAAAGCTGGTCTTCTGCTTGAAGTCATCCTTTTAGCATTATTGCGTGTTTCTGGCAGCATAGAAAGAAAGAACATAGTGGCAGGTGCTGGTTTATTCCATAGAAATTCTTCGTAGTGCTGAGGAATCACCTTAGTACTGGACCATGTCTAGAAGAGCGCGATACTTACGCACATGCTCACCTCATAGACTCTACACTCAAGGGCTCTGTCCCTCTGCCCATGATTACTTTAATGTGGTAAGTGGGCTTAAATATCACCCTGTTGACTAGTACATTTTGTTCAAGCATTTTGTTTGCTGCTTCCATATTCTTCTGACGTTTAGAGATCTCCAAACAGGACTGCTGTTCTTCCAAATCCATAAAATTCCTGAATAAACATCCTTTCAAACAGCAGTGATGACTTTCAGATGAGATACTTGGGAAGTGACAGGGGTCTTCATGTAATTTCTAATGGGTATTTGCACCATGAGGCTGCCTTCTGCACCTGACAGACCTATTGCAGCCACTGACGGGGACTTCTAAGCCTGAACAGGCAACAAGAGGGTGAGCAAGTCTCTTCCTTCCCTTCACCCCCCACTGCCACATCGTCTTGCAGAGATGAGAGGCTGGAGGCCATTAGGCCAAACTGTGTAGCACTTGCACACAGCTGCTCTCCGTGTCTGAAAGGCAGACAAAGTCCTTTCGTTTGGCTGATAGAACTTAATTCTGACAACTTTTACAACTGTTTTTTGAAACAAGGGCTGTGGAAAACTAAAAGAAAAGGGGATTATTTGCTTTCTGAATAGCTATAAGAAGGTTCAAGTAACCTGT